CAAGTATGCAAACCAAATCTTATTTTATAAAAGTAGTTTTGATAGACCTGTAATGTGGACTTATGGCCATTGGGTTACTTTGCAAAGTCAGTACCACAAAAGCAAGAAAAAAAAGACCAGACTGGCGTGGGGATGTCACCTCCTCCTCAGCCACCTTTTAGCCATGAGTGGTGTGCCGACAGTCTAAGGGAGTGATAAATCCTTAGTTCTGTTATTAAGAAGCCAATAATGCTTTCCATTTGTACTTTTAAGCAAATCAATACTATCTTTTTCCTCCGGGTCGGGGCGGGGGGAAGCATTTACTTGAACTACCAAGCCACAACACAAAAGTGCAAAGATTTTGGGGGTTAGGTAGGAGGTGTAAAAGCTTATTAACAAGGCTGGCTTGGAAGGATAAAGCTAAAGATAAAATAGGAAGATGCAGCCCTTCTGCTATCCTGTTGCCTTTAATTGAGTGAAGTAAAGTTGTTCCTCCTCTAACCCCCAAATGATTTGAGACAATCAGGAAAATAAGTATAATTAATAAAGCCTACCATCCTACCTTCTCTTTCCTACTACTTTTTTTCCCTCATCCATTAATATTGTCTACCCCCATGTCTATCCTAAATCTCTAACAGTGTGTCCCATGAAGGGAAGAAGAAAGGACTATGGGCTCTTAAATTTCCTTCGAACTTCATTTTGTGCTTTGAATACTTCGGTAGATTTTTCTTGGGAGTTGCATTATTTGAGATACTTGAAGTAGGGAAGGTTTTTAATCCTACTAAGTCCTGTGTTTCTCACTTGACATCAGGAAAAACTCTCTACCCAACTTAAATTTCATACTAGTTTGTTAGTAAAACGATAGGGTTTTATACCCAAAACTTGTTTTGAGCATAATAATTTGTTGGTGTTAGGCTTTATTGTCTTCAGGAGACAGGTGGTAGGAAACAATTCTTAGCACATCTTTACCTTTTACAGAGGAAGGTGATGCTGGCCTCAGATTTTTTAAATCCCTGAAACTCTAGAACTATGGCTGCTTAAAGCAGCAGCTGCCCACAAAAAGAGCAATAATGTAAATAAAAAGAATGGTTTGGAAAATATGTGCTGGAGAAATTATTTGGGAAAAGTATGAAGTTGGAAAAAGATGTATAGCAAGGTCTGGAAGAAAGAAACAAAGGTTTTTAATGTAGTATTTTCATAAGGCTAGGGTTAAACTTTGAAGAGTATCAACTCTTCACTGGCTAGGAAAGAGTATTAACAGATTGTTTTGTCAATAATTACTTACCTCTCTTTTGCTTTCCAATTCATTATGCTGAGAGATATTGACAGTTTTGGTGGATCTGAGGAAGGTATTACATATGAAGTTTCAGATTACTATAACTAGGCTAGTGGGCTTTAAAAAAAAATCCCCCCAAATGTTATCTCACTGAAGTAATTTATAGTCAGCATACAAACCATACACCCTTGCTAAGGGAAAAATCAGGGCTTGGTATTAGAGAGTTTTCTAATGATTTTAACTGGAAAGGGAAGCTGGGCTGGAATTTCAAACTGATTTTTTTTTTTAGTCCAGAATTTGGCCATTTTTTAACTTTACAGTTTTGTTTTCAGGTTAGTTTTAAAACATCTTCTGCTTTCTTTAGTCTTAAAAGTAATTTATAATTTGTAAAAGAGACTAGATTTTGATGCCAACTGTTCATTTAAATTTTGAATCTAGATGTATTTGTTTTTCCTGTTTGTTTTTTTAAAACCTTTATCAGCACATTGGAAGATTAGGTTGTTGGTTATAATCAGTAGATGACCAGATGGAGTTTAAAAACTAGAGAGATGAAGTTGGTAAGATCAGAAGAGATCCTCACTCTGGGATTAACAGGAACCTAGGCCCTATAAATTAAATATGAAGCTATACAAACTTTCTTTTAGCAACCAGGAGACAATATTTTGAGAATGAACTTACTTTTTAAATAAAGTGTGGAAAGCCAAAGGCCAGAGAGACTACATGGGTTTTAGGAAAAGTGTTAAAGTAGAGAGTGTGTGCCTAGTGTCTATTTTGTCTTTAACAAGACAATGATTTCCTTGAGAGGAGAAACTTACTTAGAGCTAGGCACTGCTAATCCTTGCACTGCATTCTTGGGAAACTCCTCTGAAGGAAGACAAAGACTACTGTGTGCGAGGCAACGTTTTGATGATTCTGAATTGGAAATGCAAAATGTTGCCTCTACTTATAGGGTGTCCAGAAAATTAAATCTAAACTGAGAATGATCGAATGGATCACTTCCTCCACAGAAGGTGTGAATTGGAATAGAATTGCTTAATACAATCTTTTGTTTGGGACCCTTCCTCTTGACAAACTCTCAGGGCCCCCTTTTGTCACTGTTTCTGGGATGCAGCCTGCTCTCCTCTTCACAGTTGCTACCTCCTCTACTTTTTCCACCTGAGTTCTTTGGGTCTGGCTTTGCAGCCGCCTGGGAAAGGAAGACAGTCTTTTACGATTGCACCCCCTCCCCTTTATTGCTATCCTTCAGGACAAACACTTGGCTTATTTTATTTTAAGGTCTTTTAGTTTCCGTAATCAAAAGAAAACTGCTCATTGGGGAATATCAGATTGCTGTTTCGTACATTCATAAACACTAAAATGTAGACTTCAATGTATCTAGTCCTAATTTTGTTTTCTGATGGAATGACAGTCAACTTAAACTGAAACCAGTTTTCTAAATATCTTATATTGCTCTATGGAGAAGTGAATGTGCCTCTTTTCCCGCAGGTAGGGCATAAACAACTGTTGCCATGTCACTCACTTTTTGCCCTGACTCCTGAAGCTGTTCACTCCAGTTATGTTAACCCAGCAGGCCCCTTTATTCAGTTGAGATACTACAGATTTCTATAGTAAAATATATAATATCAGTAAGAGTGCCAAAACAACTGTTAGCATTTATTTAGTGAGTTGCTGTATTTTTGCAGGACCTCGTTGGATCCACAATCTTCTCTATGTCCTGCAGGTCTGTCCTACAGCTTTTCCATGGATGACCCTACCTTAGGAAAAAAGACTTTTGCTACCTATACTCACATGATCCTGATAAGAAGCAGATTATTCATTGTTACTGAAGAGCGACTTGGAATATCTATATATATATATATATTTTTTTTAAAGTGTGCATATATACCATTTGATTGAGCTGATAGGTGTTTGATTTTTATCAATGTTGTGAATCAGTTTTTGACTCATGCTAACTTGATCATCACTTTTTTGCTTTTCTTACTATCTAGGACAGTAATGTGTCCCTTGGCTTGTTGCTTAATTAGCAGCCAATAAATCAGTGACTCAACTTGTGTTTATTTTTCTCAGCTAGACGGCACATATTTATAGATTTAGCAGTTAATTGTTCCATACGTAAAATAAGGTACCATGGGTACTTCTGTAAAATCTCAGAGCATTTATAATTCTTGATTTTTAAACAATCAAAGCAGTTTTATTATGGTCTATGTACATACATTTTTCTGACAAAAATGGGGTATGTATGCTGTTTTGTAAATGTTTTTATGATTTTTACATGCTGTATTGTGTTACTGTATAAGTAAATAGATTTTGCTCTTTTTGGTGACTATAATATTCTTTTATATGGTTGTACTATAGTTTTTTTAATGAATCCTTTATTGGTGGGCTTTTAGGTTTCTAGGTTTTTACTTTATACAGTGTTACACTAACATTTTGGTTAGGCATTATGTGTACTTGGGTGTTTACTTTCTTAGAATAAATTATAGAATAGATTTACTGTATCACATTGTCTACATTTTAAGGCCTTTTGATGTAAGTAGCTGTTTTTATAGTTTATAGTCCCACCAACAGTATTTGAAAATGTTGACATGGTGAAAATGTTCTTTTCCCTGCATCCTCTCTTAGACCGTATTCTCCATGTTATTTTTGCCCATCTGATTGGCAATTTTTTTTAAGTAAAGTTGAATATCTTTTCAAGAGTTTGTTGGCTTTTTGTATTTTTAAAATAAATTTATGTCCTTTTCCCATTTTTCTATTAAAGTGTTGTTCACCTGCTTTGATTTTAAAAGTTCTTTTTATGTATTACTCTTGCTAAGCACATAAGTATATGTAAATATACCCACAGCCTTTTAACTTACTCTATTTTAGGATACCATTTCTCAAAATATGACTTGCAGACCACTTGTAACAGTACCTAAAGTAATTCATTCTGCAGTTCATTCATTCTGTAATTCATTCTACAGAGATTGAGATTTTGTAGACCTGTGAGGAGATCTGAATCTGCTACACATTAAAGCTAGAGAACCTCTGATTTTGGGGAAATATAAATTATTTAAGATTTTTTACTCAACGTATTTTCTTTCTGTCTCCCTGAATTGCACTGTTCTTTTTCTTACTTATTTTAATAATCATAAACTACAGTCTTAACATATTAAGATCGTCATACTACCCCAGCCTAACATAATAGATTTTACAAAAGTATTATAATGTTTGCTACATTGGATGTCATAGTACATAAAAGAAGCACTTTTATAAGATGGTGGGAAACTTTACCTGCCAATGAGGCAAAAGTAATAAGAGGAAATCAGGTAAAATAGATGGAGTAGGCAGAAGTATAAGGGGGTGTATCATTTAGTTTAAAAAACTCAGTGGGGTATTTCTTATTTCTTCCTCAAGTTTTATGTGGTAGTCTTCTTTGAACCATAAGTTTGAAACTCATAACTGCTTAAAAATAGATTAGTCTAAGTAAAAATTTTTAAATTCTTGGTATTACAATATACATATTCAGTAAGGAGCAATGTTAGTTTTTTTTTCTTTCTTTTTTTTAGTTGCAAGGAGAGGAACATGCATAAGGAACAAACTACAAAGAATTACATGGATGTTTTGGTACTGACACCAAGTAAAGCCTTCAGCAGTTATTTGACACATATTTAATGATAATGCATAATTGTTACTATGCTGCATGTAATTAAGCTTAAATATAAATAAATGACCATGTTTAATATCAGTTTTCTATAGCCAGATCTCACATTTTGGGGCCATCTTGAAGGAGGGAAAAAATATGGGAGGCCAAGAAGCTGTCACAGAGATGGCTGATTTAGACATTTTGGTATAGAGAGATTAGGCATTTTGGGTGGGGATTGCTCATAACTTCAGTGTTCCTAATTCTAGAGACTACACAAACCAAGACCATCTTCTATTAGAGGGAAAAATTGGGAAGATACAGCTATTGCTTAATTTTCTCCAAATAATTTTTTCTGCCTAGTAGCTAAAGTTTGGGATGCAGAGGTCTGCATCATTGATGGTCAGTGAGCAAGGGACATTTCTTGCCCTCTAAGCCAAACCAGTTCCAGGTCTCAAGGTCTAAGCTGTTATGGGCCCTCATATTTAGGTTGCCTATTAACCTGGGTCTCTGAGCATTTCTGAGCCTGAACTTATACCATGTTTTCCCAATTTAGGCTGTCCATTGTAACAAATCAAAAATACCCAATGCAATGTGAAACAAAATGAGATAAAGGCATTTGACATCATTGCTAAACCAAATGAAATATGATTTAGCTTAGAATATGCATTATTCTTACCAAACCTACTTTCCACTCCACCCACACCCTCTCAGCCCTAAAGATAATGTATTTTTGCCCTGGAAAAGCAGGGGCAAGTCAGAGATTTAGCTTAGTAGAAACTGTAACGAGATCTGGAGAGGAACATGCATAAGGAACAAACTACAAAGAATTACATGGATGTTTTGGTACTGACACCAAGTAAAGCCTTCAGCAGTTATTTGACACATATTTAATGATAATGCATAATTGTTACTATGCTGCATGTAATTAAGCTTAAATATAAATAAATGACCATGTTTAATATCAGTTTTCTATAGCCAGATCTCACATTTTGGGGCCATCTTGAAGGAGGGAAAAAATATGGGAGGCCAAGAAGCTGTCACAGAGATGGCTGATTTAGACATTTTGGTATAGAGAGATTAGGCATTTTGGGTGGGGATTGCTCATAACTTCAGTGTTCCTAATTCTAGAGACTACACAAACCAAGACCATCTTCTATTAGAGGGAAAAATTGGGAAGATACAGCTATTGCTTAATTTTCTCCAAATAATTTTTTCTGCCTAGTAGCTAAAGTTTGGGATGCAGAGGTCTGCATCATTGATGGTCAGTGAGCAAGGGACATTTCTTGCCCTCTAAGCCAAACCAGTTCCAGGTCTCAAGGTCTAAGCTGTTATGGGCCCTCATATTTAGGTTGCCTATTAACCTGGGTCTCTGAGCATTTCTGAGCCTGAACTTATACCATGTTTTCCCAATTTAGGCTGTCCATTGTAACAAATCAAAAATACCCAATGCAATGTGAAACAAAATGAGATAAAGGCATTTGACATCATTGCTAAACCAAATGAAATATGATTTAGCTTAGAATATGCATTATTCTTACCAAACCTACTTTCCACTCCACCCACACCCTCTCAGCCCTAAAGATAATGTATTTTTGCCCTGGAAAAGCAGGGGCAAGTCAGAGATTTAGCTTAGTAGAAACTGTAACGAGATCATTCCTATTACTGCTATGACTTTTTGGGGATGATTTCTATTCTCTGCAGTCTGATTGTATAATGATAAATTTTTCAGTCAAATGTTTCTACATTTGTGGTACTGAAGTTCTTGCATTATCTAAAAAGATGACATAATGTTGGGAACATTTTCTGATACTACTTTTAGAATCTTCTAATTTGCCAGTTCAATATTGGTTGATAGAAGTAGGCTTTGTCTCAGTTGTAACTCAGTAATAAAGCTACCTAATGTTTGATGCTACTATACTATTTATAAAGGGATTTTATATATATTATCTCATAATTCACTCATATCCTTGTTAAGAGAGGTGCTTTTTCAAGAAGAAAAATTCTGCATTCAGAGAAGTTAAGTGATATGTTTACACAGCTAGTAAGGGGCTTAAGTCCTTATCTTTCAACTTATTTATTTATGTATCACCTCTTTCACAGATAGCTTCTGCCAAGTCAGTTAATGTAAAATTCGCTATTATGGATAAAACACATATAATAAATTTTAAATTCAGTAGCTTTGATTCTGATGATGGCAGATATCTGAATAAAAGTACAACAGCATAAGAATTTTGCAAATGGATCAGTGATATCTCATGACACATGAAAAACTGCATAGACAAGAAATTAAACCATATGTTTTTATAAACAACTGAGAGACAAAAATTTGCCTTGAAATGGTGTGTAGGGATTGTTTTTAGTATTCCTGTAATATAAAATAAAAAGTAGAAAAACTATACTGTATTTCTGTGAAATACCTATGTATTTTGTCCATTAGATCAGTATATCTCTCACCAAAGATTATTTTCTTTATTTCTCTTTCTAATAAGTCATTGTTGGTGTATAGAAATGCAACTGATTTTTATATATTGATTTTGCATCCTGCAACTTTACTGAGCTCATCAAAGATTTTAACATTAAGTCTACTGTATTTTGAGAGGAAATTACTAATTTCTCACATTTTTAAAAAATACTTTTCAGATACTTCAATCAAAGGAAGAAATAGCTCTTCTCCTAAGATGGAATCTGTTGTTTGGGAATGTGGTTAATCAACTTGATATGTTGGCCAAATGTGCCCTATCTAATAAAATGAAAAGAAGAGACAAGATGATATCATTTTCCCATATTGTGAAACCAAAAACAAATGCCTTTTGTGAGACCAAACTGACAAACCTCTGATGATGCAGAGGTTTGAAGAACTTAACAGTGAGATATAGAAGAAATACTTTCAAGCTGAGACCTGCAGGTGTTTAAAGATCTAAAATACACATTGAGTAGGCCTGATCATTTGAATCTCATTCAGATCCAGAAAGGATGGCTGTGAGTTGGACTGTCTTCTGTCTTTTGCCCTTGACTATGTTTGTGGGGCATATAGGTGGGCACAGTTTGTTTTCTTGTGAACCTATAACCTTGAGGATGTGCCAAGATTTGCCTTATAATTCTACCTTCATGCCTAATCTTCTGAATCATTATGACCAACAGACCGCAGCTTTAGCAATGGAGGTAAGACTTGATCTATTCTGACATATCTTAGCAAATGATTAGTATATTGTCCTATTAACTTATTTAATGAATGTGTCCGATAAACAATAGAAAAAATGTTATTATTAACTATATTTTGTACAATAAAAATTATATATTTAGGTTTAAAATCTAATAAATTGAGGAATTCATGTTTGGGGAATGTTATTCTTGATGTATATTTTAGACATTATGCTTTTATGAAGAATTGTGTAACCCTGGAACATGGGCGATAATAGCCATTTAGAAGTTTAAAATTGTCCAAGTTATGAAATGATCACATCTTTTCTGTTACTGGCCTGATGATAAAACTTTAAAGAACAGAATATAATAATATTCACAATTCAGTCATTAAGTATTGAAATAAAATTTTGCAAAATAAGTTATTTTGTTTAGCCTTTAGGCTGGTGGTTATAGTATTTGAATTTTATTAAGTACTTAAAATGATTTCCTGGTTTTACCAAGTTCACATCAATTTAAGAAAGGTGACTCCCAATCAACATATGAGTTATCTGTTTCTTGATCTCACAGGCTTTGATAAAAATTGGTTGCCTTATTTGGATTTTTCTGTAATTCTTCAGGTACTTTTTAATGATTACACCTTACAAACTATGATAAATCAATGTATATATTTAGTAATAGTTTTAAATAAGTAGGCATGTGTTTCTATAGTGGCTTTAACATTGTGGACAAGGATATATTTACCAGATAAGAACTAAGAGGCATAAATGGTGGCAGTAGGGAACATAGGCTTTCGTATTATACCAACCTGAGTTTCAGTTCTACTCTACCACTTCTGTACTTCCTTACTGTAGTTTTTTTGTGCTTGTAAAATGGAGCTAATTATAATCATATAGGCTTTTGTCAGGTACAAAGTAAAAACACATATATTAAGTACTTGGCATAGTACTCCAAAAGCGATAGCTTTTGCCATTTGCCTGTATTTTCATATTAATATGGCTATATAATACATATGTCTCAAATAATTTCTCATATTATAGTAAAACTCAAAGGTTAATTACTTCCGAGAATACTAATATAAATCTGGGGAAACTTTTTATTCATAGATTTTGAAATGTGGAGGGCATCTTATATATTCCAAATATTGGAAAATGCTTTAGAGGTTGAACAAAACATTTTCTGCTCTTCTGATTGTACAGGGTCTAACTTGTAAAGAAAGATTTGGTATAGACTATCAGATTAGGATATATGAAAATTGGTATTGGTTTAATACCCATACCGTAATTTGATTACAGGCATGGTAGTCACTGCTGTGTGTCAGAACCATCAATTGTTTCCACAAAATTTGAAGTAAGGAATACCTTTGTTTTTAGTATTATTTTAAGTCAGTCATAACTCCTTTTGAAAAGAAATTGGGTATTAAGAAGCAAGCGCTAATGGTGTTTGTACTGATTTGGATTCAGCTTTTGAATACTGCCGTGTAGTAGCTTTGAGATCTTGTACGGGTCACTTAACATCCCTGAGCCTTGGTTTCTTCATTTGTGAAAAGGCAGCAATAAAATACTTCCCAGGACTGTTAGGATTAAATGAGGGGTTTATGAAGTAGCTGGCATAATGTATGGCACACAATAGATGATTCATAAATGCTAATTCTATTCCAAGTTCAATTTCTAAACGATGGTAGCAAGAAAGTATTAGAAAGATGATGTATTTGTTCCAAATGAGCTTGCATCCAAAGTTGTAGGCTCATGGGACATTTGGAATGATGGCTTGGTAAGTTCTCACTACCCTCTTCTCAAACATGCCCATGTAGTCTAGAAATTTTATCAGTAATGAGATTGCTTCTGTTTGAATTGGACACATTCTAGGGAAAGCACCTAAGTGGACAATCATTTCTAAGAGAAGGCTCTAGGGATTTCAAGTAATTAATGTTGGGGACAGTTGCTTATTGTATGGTTTTCATATTAGGACAGAATTGTCAGGCAGTTCGAGAGTGTAAAGTTTCTGTAATAGCAAAGGGCATTGAAACTCAGCAGTCAATACAGCAGTTGTAAGTAAGGGTTTTCAAGTCCTTATAAGAACTTGAATCTACTGACAACATCCTTCATCTCTGATCCTGGAACTTTGGATATGTCTGCCTGCTTTTACCAGGAGCAAGGAATTAGAGCAAGCATCACAGCACATTCTCGAGTATTCACTGGGGGGGATGAATTGAAAGAATTTCCTAGGTGTAGCATCTTTCAGTAGGCCCAGGTTTCACTTCTGTTTATGGTTAATTCTGTACTGATGTTTGGTGAGTCAGAAAGAGTGCCTGGAACAGAGTAGTATATGGCGGTGAGCAACAGATACCACACATGAGAGGGAGTGGAGAATCTGGGTTATTTAAAATTTGATTATTCACAATCAACAAGTTGAAGGTTCTTTGATTATTTATAGAGGATTCCTAGTGTGTGCTTTCATTGAAATAGGGGCATGTTTATTAAATAAGTGGGATAATGTAAGTGTCAATTCATTAAGTTAGAAAAGAAAGATTGTTGCTAGTATGTTTATTTCTCTATTCCTCCCTTCCAAAACCTGCACGTCTACACACAAACATACACACTAAATTTTTATAAGTTCTTAACTTGATGTTTCTTTTTTTTACCCTGAATATCAGTGGCTTTTGATAGAGAAAGAAATTCTCATTTCTGAGTTGCCCAACCTGGAACTGTCCAAACTGTCCAAATTGTCCAGAAAAAAGCAAAATTTTTGAGATCTGCCCAGCTTGGACAATAAATTGCCAGCAAATTGTCAGTAACTATCTTTGCCAATCCACATTTTATGAGGTATTTATGACTAGTGGTGATAAAAGAGATCTGAGCAGGTTTTTCCCCTACACCAAGTAATTAAACCCAGCTGAATAGGAGGAGGACAATTTAGTAAAAAAATACTGTAAAATAGGGATAGGAGACTTTATTCTGCCACTTACTAGTTTTGTGACTTTTTGTATTTGTTTCCTCTAGGAAGTAATTTTTTTCCCTGTTTGATTTACAAGCTTACTATTAAGATTAAGTGATGTGTATATTAACTTTGAAAAGCTAAAGTGCTGTGTGAATGCAGAGCATCAGTCTTTGTTGCTTGACACCCTAATTTCAGTTAGTATGTGGAGTAAGCAATCTTTAATGTCTTTGGGAACTTGATTCTTTGTCTTTCAAAAAAATTTTTTTTTTAGAATCTAGACCTCTGTAGGATAATCAGAGGGACAACTCCTGGGATGTCTTGTGTTTGCCTCCATTTCCAGTTTATTTTTGTCATTCTCATTAAAGATTTTCTATAGCATGGGAAGCTGGCACTGGGGTAATCCTAGTGGGAACACAGATTAAAAGCCTGAACATTCTTGGTATCTGAAGTATGTTTGAACCAATTTCCCAGTTATCCAAACTCAAGTTTTACTTTCTTTTTTTTGCTTTTTACTATAGCAAATTTCAGTTACATAGAAATATAGATAGGATAGTATAAAGGACACCATATACCCATCATCCAGTTAAAAAAGTTATCAACTCATGGCTAGTTTTATTTCATTTATGACTGCATGTCCTACTGGGGTTACTTTAAAGCAAATCCCAAACATCATAATTTTATCCATAAATATTTCCATATCTCTAAAAAGTAGGGCTTTTTTCAAAATATATAAACAGCATACCTTTATTATTTCCTAAATGTCATCAAATATCCAATTAATGTTCAAATTGCTGTGAGTTTTTCCGTTTTCTTACAGTTGACTTTTCAAATCAGGGTTCATACATTGCATTCAATTGTTATGTCTCTCAAGTCTTTAATATGTAGTTTCTCTTTCCTTTTCTCCTCTCCCTTTTTTCTTGTTTGCTTTATATAGTTTCTCGTAGTCTTTATTTTGCTGATTGCATCACTGTGGTGCTAGTCACCATGTGTGTCTCCTTTTTTAAATTTTTCTTGGACATTCCACAGTGGTATTTATAGATGGTCCTCACTAAAATTCTTTTCCTCATTGTGGTGAAATATACATAATACAAAATTTACCATTCCAGCCATTTTTTAGTGTACATTCACCTTGTTATGCAATCATCACCACCATCCATCTTTAGCAGTTTTTCATCTTCCAAAGCTCAAACTCTGTGCCCATTAAATAGTAACTCCTAATTCTCCCCTCCTCCCATCCCCTGACAAACCACCATTCTTCCTTCTTTCTCTCTTTCTGAATTTGACTACTCAGGTACCTCATGTAAGTGGAATCATACACTATTTATCCTTTTGGGACTGGCTTATTTCACTTAATGTCTTCAAGGTTCATCCATGTAGCATGTGCCAGAATCTCCTACCTTTTTAAGGCCAAATAATATTGTGTATACCACCATCAAACACTTGGGTTGTTTCTATCTTTTAGCTATTATGAATAATGCTACTATGAACACAGTTGTACAAATATCTGTTCATTCAGTGTTTTTGGAAGTGGAATTGCTGGATCATGTAATAATTCTGTTTAGTTTTTTGAGGAACCACCATATGGTTTTTCACAGCAGCTGCTCAATTTTACATTTCCATCAGAAGTGCAAAAGGTTCCAATTTCTTCATATCCTTGTCAATACTTGTTATTTTCTGTTTCATTTGCCTTTTATGATAATAGCATCCTAATGAGTACAGAGTTGTCCTCATTTTTTTAATTCAGTTCCTATTGATGGATGTTTGGGTTGTTTCCTGTCTTTTGCTGTTGAAAACAGAGCTTGTACCCAGTGTTCATCTTTGTATGTCAGCACCTAACAGTCCCTTACATGTAGTAACTGCTAAATAAATGCTTGAATTAATTATGGACTTTATAATCTATAAATTCCTTAAGAGGCAGTGATAATCATAGTCATGACTATTATGGTGTGGTGTTGCACCTAAGCACTTAATCTCCTGGGGTTGAATATAGTAGTGTGCTTGGTGAGGGTGTTGATGGTAATCCCAATACCAAGGATACCGCAAACCTATGAACACTGGTGTTTCACTTTACCTTTTTTTGG